CCTTGCTACCAATATCAGTCTTACAGATCGTTTTGCCATTTATGGTTCAAAGCGATCACTTGCGAGCGTATATGAAAGAAGTTCTGATTATTTGGAACAGAAAGCACTTCACATCAAGCACTGGCAACGGTAATGTTGACTATCAAGTAAAATATCAATGTTGGAATGATACTGCTCTTCACTTCGAAGAACAAAATTTATTTACTGTTCAAATTACTAACACCAACTAGATACCTTTACCATTTCAGCATTATCAGAACTTATTAGCAAATTACACCTAATCAGCGTCATATATGGTGTGTGCAATTGAATCTTGACTAATTTTGCGACCTCTTAATTGCCATCATAAGTAAGATATTAGATCTACATACCTGAATCACGTATAAAATCTCAAAGTATTTCATGTGAGTATCACTGTTTGCGATCGAATCAAAACTCAACCAGTGTTATTCGATGGACTTCTCAGTGTATAGTTTACCAACTTGAATTCATTTGAGCCAACTTTGAGCAACTTAGATTTCATTTGGACATTCACATGCTTTTGGACAAGCCCCATTGCCCAAGAATGATTCTTACGGGAAGGCAAATATGGTTGCGACTTCTATTAATTATATCAGTGCACGAGGGCCCCTTATTCAATAGGAGACTTGGATATTTCGAGCATGTGCGTCATCGCCAACGTCTGTTCGTAAGCGCAATATCACTCAGAGCCAAGCCCGCATTTTTTGTATGATAGATGCTGATTTCAAAAGCTTTATTGTCATATTTGCTTGCTCTAGAGGATGTGTGGGAGGTACTTTCCGATTGTTTATTGTAGCTTTGTTCAGCAACACAGGGAATGTTGCAGTGCATGAAAATTTCGTCCGAGCCTTTGCTGATATGAGTTCTTAAGTATCTGTCGTACATTCTACATTCTTTCGCCAGACTACAAACACTTTCTAGCAACAGACTGTGGTGATGTTAGTATTTGTTACACATTTCTAATAAACGTTTCTTTGTTCTCCACAAATGAAGACTGTTTGTAGGTTCTTGTGAGAAATATAAGAAATTGGGAAGGGTTGTCTATAAACAATGTCGCCAATGCAAGAATCAAATAAATTGGGAAGCAGTTTTTTTTCTGTCCTACTGTTTTCGGTGAACTTTAGCCTAAAGGATAAGGTCCTTTGCAGAATAATACATCGATTTAATGGCCTCCATTTCTTTACATGCAGGTACAATAGTCGTCATCTCAGCAGTAATGTGCACCATTTTTGAAAAATGTAGAAGGAGGAGCGTTGGGAATAGAGTCAGTACTTCATATAACACAATGAAACAGCGAATAACGCAAAGTTGCTTGAAGAACTAAAGAAATGGTCATAGTGGCATCAAAAAAATAACGCCTTGACATAGCGACTGGCCAAAATGGGGATGACTGTGCCATGGCCATGTTCTGCAGATTGCGTGCCTGTGAGCTTGTGTAGAGCTTGTGTATGTTGAACACAATTATCTGGAGAAATTTCATTGATGTTAGAGAATTGAACAAATTCTCCGCTACTGTCGAGCTGTAGGAGCTTGTTGGTACACTTTCCTTTTAAGTAAATTGTCTGCGAGTCCATTTATTGTATGATCGTAAACGTAGACTGCTTAACTTTATATGATATTTCATAAGCTCATAAATATAGCCGGTTTATTGTTGGACATAATCATCACCTTGTCTCTGCAGCCTGAACTTTTGCACATAGAAGTCAAAGTACGGCTAACGCTATTTGTAGATGTCTGTTGACCTTTTCAAGCTCATGCATGAGTGATTTTCAAAGCATAAGCGGCAGTGCACTTCGAGCGGGTCATAAGTCAGATTTTATTGAAAAAGGGAAAAAGTTACAATGTTGGATTCATACGCAAATATGTCTACTTCAACTCACATGCATTTCAAGCGCATAGCGCAAAAAAATTCGTCGTGAACGAGATTTGAAGTGAGTCTGAACTGTGTCCTGTAATTACTTGCAGAAACTCTGAATGAAGCGTGTAATGTACCGTGAAAGAGCATGATGTAATCTATACCTTTTACCTTCAGCCAAGCATGAGCTCTCAGGCATGCACTGGCTCATCTAATTTCTCTCAGCTTGGTTTGCCTCTGTATGACTTGAAAATATGGTATGTGTACAAGTTCAGAAAGCTTTACGCCTACTCTGATTCACTCAAGTTTAGCGGATTGCTCAAGGCTTTACAAGAAAATTTATTGAGATTTGTGTAATGGACGACAACAACGATGCTAATAAAGTCCTTATGAGTCAGCTGAAACAGTTTCATCAGCTTTCTTTTTTCAGGAGTATGACTGACAAGGAAACGATCCCAACTTAAGGTGGCGAATTGGAATGAACCGCACATCATTAAGTGCATGTTGATGAGCTGATTCCAAAACTACCTTTCATATCTGCGGAGCCGTTCTCTGCAAAAAGTTATAAGCGTTTGAATATGTGAAGTGACTGGGGTTTCAATGCTTAATGTCCTTCAAAATCCAGCTTTAGAGTGTATGACTAGCATGATATTGAGTGTACTGATTTCAAGGAATGCTCACATTCAAAAGAAACACAAATAAGTGTTTCTGAACAACTAGCTCTCGAGGTGTGGCGCTGTATTATTACCAACTTTGTACTTTTCATTGCTCATAGCTTTTACTAACGAACTTTAGTTGTATATGTTTACTTGAGCCGATCACCAAGATTGTGGCACGCTTTATTCAATCAGGCTAACGTTTCGGTGCCTTCACCTTCATCGGAGCCTGGAAGGTCGTCACATTAGTGGTTTGTTCTCCCGAACGCCTCGTTCAAAACAAGGCTACATTCAACATCAAGCCAGGCTGAAAGCCGTGACGGAAACCATCGTTCATGCTCACTTCGGCTTCGAATCGGGGTCGAGCCGCTACTAAACACAGCGTCTGCACAGTCAGTAGTAGTAGAGACTAGTACAAGTGCCTTATATGTGTAGATGAATCTAATCTCAGTGTAGATCAAATCCGCAAAGGGACTGATATGCGATTAGATCACTATTCATGGCAACAACGCCCTCTTCTTTGCGGTTCATTGCAGGAGCTTTGGATGTTATCCAAAATTGATAACATTGATAACATAATTTTGCGGATTTGATCTACACTGAGATTAGATTCATCTATATAAGGCACTTGTACTAATCTCTACTACTACTGACTGTGCATACGCTGTGTTTAGTGGTGGCTCGACCCCGATTCGAAGACAGCCGAGGTGAGCATGAACGACGGTTTCCGTCACGTTCAGCCTGGCTTGATGTTGAATGTAGCCTTGGCGTGAACGAGGCGTTCGGGAGAACAAACCACTAATGTGACGACCTTCCAGGCTCCGACGAAGGTGAAGGCACCGAAACGTTAGCCTGATTGAATAAAGCATGCCACAATCTTGGTGATCGGCTCAAGTAAACATATACGAATATCTACATCATGCCAAGATTTATCAATAATCGAGCTTGGAGTCTTCTGAACTTTAGTTGCTTTTTAGTTGTTCAAAAACACTTACAAGGGAATGGTCAGAAGTCGAAGTGGCCGATCCATACAAGCTGCATACCATTAAATGCAGTATTAGATGCTGACTCTAAATCTGTCTTCCTTATCTGCAGAGCGCTTTTGTGGACGAAATTATAAGCCGTTGAAGGCCATTATTTTGCTAAGAAATTGTGCATATAAAATGCAAACTTGGCCGTACAAAGCCATTCTTGGTTCAGTGCTGGACCAAAACATGCAACTAGGTCTGTTCATATGACCCGTACCTAGAGGTGAGCTGAAACAACAATAATGTGCCTAATTTCGCAATTTTTGCATACGGTTTTTTCGCAGTAAAGCTGCTCATAACTTCGCCTACAAAGGCGCTCTGCAGATACGGAAGGCAGATTTGAAATCGGCGTTCCATGCTGCATCGAATGGTATGCAGCTTGTTTGGATTGGCCATTTCGACTTCTGACCATTTCCTTGTTAGTTGTGTTTCTTTTGAATGTGAGCATTCCTTGAAATAAGTACACTCAGTATCATGCTAGTCATACACTCCCAAGTTGGATTTTACACATTATGCATTCAAACCTCAGTGACTTCACATTTTCAAACGCTTATAACTTTTTGCAGAGAACGGTTTCGCAGATAAGAAAGGTAGATTTGGAATCAGCTCATCAAGACGCATCTAATGATAAGCAGCTCATATCAAATCCGGCAATCCAAATGCAATCAAGCAAGAAATACGAAGAAATTATTCCTGTTTTGCGTCTTTCGTCTTGATCATTGTTAATCCTTTGATCTTTTTGCCCTACCAAACCGGTATAAATTGCTAGGACTATACCACTATTAGTAGTTAACCACTCTTCCCTACTGAAGAGCCTCGGGAGTGGTTTTCATTTATTGTATTCCTGTATAGGGGTAGAGGCGAAACAGGCTTAACAGTAACCCTTTATGTTAATTATTTATTACTGCTACTAGGATTACTTATGTCCTTGAGGGTAACCCAGGATGTTTGTTGATCCTAGTCGGTAATTCTTCCCTTATATTGCATAAATTACATTGTATACCGTTTAATTCCTTTTGAGCCAACTGGCTTTTGAGACCAACTGGTCAGCTATCAACAGATAGCAATTTACTCTTCTCAATTACTTTTGACTGAAGTTTATATTACCATCACTTATTTATTCACATTAATACACTTGCTTTACTTACAACTTTACGCCTATCGTAAAAATTGCTACTTCCATGTAATCATTTTTATATATTTTTAACTTTTTCGTGATGTATATCGATATGCATTTCTATTTGCAAACTTTGGTGATATCTTTTCGTGATGTTATAATGTTAACTTCCATTCCTCAACAACTGTTTGTTCGTAATAGAATTTATTCGAAAAAATTGTTTAACTTTGAAATTTATCGAATTCACAATTTCATAAAAACAAGTTGATCCTACGATAAACTAGTCAGCTCTTCAGCGACCCAACGGCAAAGTAGTCAGGTTGTCAACGGCTGGTACTAGTTGATGGCATATCCTGAAACATACACTCACATAATATTGTATCATTAAATAAACGTGAGTATAATAACTAATAAAAATTTACTACATTTTTCCAAATAAAAAATAAACATAATCATATAATACGTATACATCACCTTTCTACTTTTCTTGGGATTCGTAGCTTCATCACTAGTACGACGCTTATGCTTCTTTACCTTAAAATATAAGTCATAAATCAATAATATTGTAATTAAATCATTATACAATATTGCTATACCAAAATGTCTTTACATATACATATCTAACTTACCACCTCTGTCCAATTTTCCTTGTTTCCTTGATTTGGGACATCTTCAAATTCCTTCTGCTCTTCGGCGGTCAATCCTGGGAGACTTAACTCCCCTAGAACTAGTTTCCCCGTCTAAATCAATAAAAAATATATACTGATTAATAAACAAAAATATGTTATACAATATAATTGATATACTTACTTCTTCTTCCTTACGTAAGCGTATATCCATTAATTCATTGAGTGGGGTACCGTTCCATTTTGGTAACTTCCAATTTAGCCTACGGACCATGATGATTGGATCAAACTATAAAAAATATATACATTACTCTTTATTTCTGCAGTACATCAAACTTACCTCTCCTAGACCTGGAAAGTCGATTTTGTTATTTTTACGAATTCGTACATCCGGGAATTTTTTGTTTGCTCTCTCATAACACTCCTTTATCTGTAGTCTTACCAGCAAGCTGACATAATAGAATTTTTATGATAATAATTGCCTTGGTAATTTTTATAAAACTTACCACAAACGGTTTATGTCCGTTTGCCTTATTGTTTTCTCTTGGATCAACATGATATTGGTGTTGTTGCGATTGTTATATTTCTTTAGGTTTTCTTTCCCTACCGTAGTAAACCACTTCCAAAAGCAGTACGTACTTTTTACCTACAATCTTCACAACTAGTTAATATACTAAATAATTGTAGCTAATGTTGCTATAGCAGCATAAACGAATTATATGTATGCTCGCAGCCACATATACTAAAAGAACTTGTAACGTAAAATAGGGGTAAGAAACAACCACAATATGTTTTATTAATGACATCGTTAAGTAACATGCAACATGCAACATTCGACATGCAACATGCAACATGCAACATGCGACATGCGACATGCAACATGCAACATGCGACATGCAACATGCAACATGCAACATGCAACATGCGACATGCAACATGCAAAATGCAACATGCAACATGCGACATGCAACATGCAACATGCAACATGCAACATGCGACATGCAACATGCGACATGCAACATGCGACATGCAACATACAACATGCGACATGCAACATGCAACATGCGACATGCAACATGCAACATGCATGCAACATGCAAACTGCAACACATGCAACATGCAAAGTGCAACATGTAACATGCAACATGTAAAATTCATCACACAACATGCTAAATGCAACATGCAACATGCAAAATGCAACATGCGACATGCAAAATTCAACACACAACATGCAAAATGCAACATGCAACATGCAAACATTAAAGTACAAAATAGAACATGCACTATGCTACATACAACATACAATATGCTAGTAACAACATGCAAGATGTAATAGAAACATATAAGATACAATTCGGAACATGCAACATGCCATACAACATGCAACAACAATTGTACAGCGGACAATTTAAACAATCAAATGCATGCTACAATCCAAAATTCAACATAAAAAGGTACGACGTGAAACATACAAAAAATTAACGACATACTACACACGAGAACATACTTCATACAATAATACATACATAAAAATATAGGTATACAATAAAATTTAAATGCATTAACAAAAACAAATTTCAAGATTAAAATACATATCAAAAACTCACGCTGATCGCAAAAGTAGTTGATCCAAATCCACTCGGCTTTGGCCAAGTGAGCGGGAATTTATCGTCTTTTTTATCATATCTAAAAAATACTTTGATAATAAAATATATAATTTCAATTAAAGGACTTACTCTAAAAAGTGTAGCACATCTTCAATTACCAAGTCGAAATTCTTTTTCATTGCTATTGGAAGATTCACGATCTTGACGAATTCTTCCATTACCCTGATGTTGACTGCCTCCACAAAGCGTTCTTTACGCTCAGACAAATCCATCTGCAATCAATTAATTAGTTAGTAGTTATTTATTTAAAATAAAAGGCAATGCTATGTCAAAATGCTCTAAAATAACACAATTACATAACAATAAATTTCGAATGAACTGGCCTAAAAAACTGAAGTCAAAAAATTCTTTTGCTGCGTAACCTAATTGAGTATCTTTCACATGTCATTAGAGCACATTTTGATATGATGACCAAAGAATTAATACTTTTTGACACTTTGATATTATTATATACTGGAAATCAATGTATAGGTAATACTGTAGTTTGTATATCCTTACATATAATTTGGGTCGAATCTTTTATTCTCTTACTATTCAAAATATTTAAATAAAACTACTAAAATAATCCCAAATACACTAAACATAACAACTTACTAACTACCGTTAACTGATTAATGTACTAGTAATAATATATTATGTTTATACCAATAACAACCCCTTTTTTTCACTCATACTAACCGAAAACTGCCTAATTGTAAACCCATATCTATATTTTTAATTGTGCCATACACATAAGGGGTTAGGTTGTGTTTACCTTATACTAAGGTTAGTTTATTCTTCATTCCTTCTATTTCATTTCAGTAATACTACCGATGGGGTTCACACAAGTAGCTACTGGCAAGGGAGGGTAAGTACTACGCCTCCGGTGTATTATTTTTTTAGGGAGCGCCACCCCCTGGAAGCAGCCCTTCCGAAACCTAGAGTAACCTTCCCTCTGGTATGGGATTAGGCCGTTCTTTACCTTAGATTTTTGGCTTAAAAACAAAAGTACGCAAACTATTCACACTTCATCTTCTTACTTTCAGGGTACGTTCTTCAAAAGGATTAAGGTAAACGGCGAATACAACCTACTGCAGTTTGGAAATGATAATTTAGGCACTACTTGTAATAATTCATGCAATATCTGTACAAACATATTAACTCCTAACAATTTCATAAAATCTCACACGACTAAGCTAAACATCAAAACGTATAAGACTTCAAATGCAAACTGTAACTCAACACACTTGGTATACTGCCTTACATGTTATGATTGTGGACTGCAGTATGTTGGTATTACCAAAAGAAAACTTAGTGTTAGAATAAAAGAGCATTTACGGGGAATCAAAAGTAAGCATGACAATAAACTTTTTTATAAACATTTCAAAAATAGTAGTTGCAATCCTAATAATATTACAGCTATAATATTGGATAATTCACCAGAAAATGTTGATCAGAATATACTTAGAGAAAAAGAACTTTTTTGGATAAAACTATTAATGACACCTATGCCCTTTGGCTTTAATGATAACATAAAAGGTTACGGAAACCTAACCATGATTGAGAACCCATTAAATCATAAAATTAATCATCCATTTTTCAATCTTAGCATATCTAAAGACAGAAATAATCGAGGGAATAATAAAATCAATAAAAAAAGAAAACCTATATCCAGACAATCTATACTTGAAGAACTAAAAAATTTCATTAATCATTCCCCGACATATTATGAACTCTATAAATTCATTAAAAATAAAAATAAATATTATATTTCTTCACTAATCAATATATCAACCTTCAGTCCTGAATTTCTAGATATACCATCTAATTTTAAGTATGCATTATATAGTATACTCTGTCATTACCATTTTAGCAAAGTACCCGACAAAAAAGCTACTACCACATATATGAATATAAAATTTCCTTATTATGATAGCATTTTAGATAATACCAATATAAACAAAATAGTAAATAACACATCTATCATAAACCACATAAAAACATACAGCTCCAAATCTTATCAACCTATTAGAATAATATATGAATACACAAAATATGCTTCTAGTATCATATATAATTATAATAAATTCCTTAATAATCTTCACAACCTTAACATAGACGACGTTCCTTGTATTTGTAATAATTACCAGCAATATGTAGAACCTACACATAAACATGTTGTCACAGGAGATATAAACATATTCAAAACTGAACCTATATATGATGTTTTGAATAAAGGTACAAAAGTAAGATATCCATATAGATATTCTGCAGAACAAATCAAAAGCTTATGGCTTGATCTATTTAACAGAATTTGCAAAAAATACAAAACAAAATATTCTTTAGACGATGCTGTCTCAAATACCATACAAAACGAATTATATAGACATTTTCTAAAAAACTATAGTAGATTAATTTATAATATTGATAATAATAATTATAGCCTTCCTATTTCGAATATTAAACACTATCAAAAGTTCTTCATATTTTGCCCTTTAGACAAAGCTAGTTCGAATTACGGCATTATTTGCAAAAAACTTTATCTCAAAATATTAATGTCAGAAATGGGATTGATTAACATGACAAATACTTCTCCTATTTATGATTATCTTGGAACATTAGACATTGGTAACATCATCACAAAACATATGCAATTTTCTAAAAACCATAATCTCAAATTTAATGAAAGTTGTACTATTCCAAATATTTATTGTATTCCAAAATTACATAAAAATCCGGTTAAATTTAGATTTATTACAGGTGCTTCGAACAGCAGTATTAAACCTTTATCTGAAGAACTAATGCATATTTTCAACTTTTTTCGAAACCATTTTAAGAACTATACTAATATTGTATACATTAATAAAAATTGTCTTGATACATATTGGTCTATAAATGATATTAATATATCCCACAAACTTAACCATATTAATGCAAAAAACCTTAAACTGTTTTCAGCCGATTTTACTAACATGTTTACAAACATTCCTCATAAAATAATTATCAACAATCTAAAAGAGATTCTTAAAATATGTTTCAAAAATAGTAATAGCAAATATGTAGTTTGTAACAATAACAAAGTTAGTTACTGCAACTTTTACAATGAAAAAACAAGACAAAGGGTTTACAAAATCGAAGACATTTTGTACCTTGTTCAATATTTATTAGAAAACAGCTACTGTAAGATTGCAAAACACATTTTCATACAGAAAGTAGGAGTTCCACAAGGGGGTAATGCTAGTCCTATTCTAGCAGATTTGACGTTATCTTATCTTGAATATAAATTCGCCATTAATCATCCTAAAAATAATATCCTATTCAAACCTTTCAGATATATGGATGATTTATTGATTATACATAACTTAAAAGAGGAAAGTATAAATAAATGGTTGATTGATACCTACAATAATATATTAGAGTTGAAAAATACACACCAAAGCGAATTAGAATGTGACTTTCTTGACTTAAAAATAAGAATCGTAAATAATAAAATTATTACGCAACAATACAACAAAACAGATTACTTTATGTTTAAAGTTAATAGATTTACACATGCATCTTCACATATAAGTGTAAATGTCAAAATATCAACTATATATAGTGAGATTCTTAGAATTTATAGAACATGTACAAATTTCGAAAGTTTCCTACATAGATTATTAATACTCTTTAAACAACTCAAGGATTTAGGCTATACACAAAATATAATTACCAATTCCTTTATAAAATGCTTCACTTTCAACAAATGTATTTCATACAAATATATAGAACTTCAGTCCTTCAAAAATGTCAAAAATTTTGTTAAATTCGTAATTGATAGACTTGATCATTGTTAATCCTTTGATCTTTTTGCCCTACCAAACCGGTATAAATTGCTAGGACTATACCACTATTAGTAGTTAACCACTCTTCCCTACTGAAGAGCCTCGGGAGTGGTTTTCATTTATTGTATTCCTGTATAGGGGTAGAGGCGAAACAGGCTTAACAGTAACCCTTTATGTTAATTATTTATATACGAATATCTACATCATGCCAAGATTTATCAATAATCGAGCTTGGAGTCTTCTGAACTTTAGTTGCTTTTTAGTTGTTCAAAAACACTTACAAGGGAATGGTCAGAAGTCGAAGTGGCCGATCCATACAAGCTGCATACCATTAAATGCAGTATTAGATGCTGACTCTAAATCTGTCTTCCTTATCTGCAGAGCGCTTTTGTGGACGAAATTATAAGCCGTTGAAGGCCATTATTTTGCTAAGAAATTGTGCATATAAAATGCAAACTTGGCCGTACAAAGCCATTCTTGGTTCAGTGCTGGACCAAAACATGCAACTAGGTCTGTTCATATGACCCGTACCTAGAGGTGAGCTGAAACAACAATAATGTGCCTAATTTCGCAATTTTTGCATACGGTTTTTTCGCAGTAAAGCTGCTCATAACTTCGCCTACAAAGGCGCTCTGCAGATACGGAAGGCAGATTTGAAATCGGCGTTCCATGCTGCATCGAATGGTATGCAGCTTGTTTGGATTGGCCATTTCGACTTCTGACCATTTCCTTGTTAGTTGTGTTTCTTTTGAATGTGAGCATTCCTTGAAATAAGTACACTCAGTATCATGCTAGTCATACACTCCCAAGTTGGATTTTACACATTATGCATTCAAACCTCAGTGACTTCACATTTTCAAACGCTTATAACTTTTTGCAGAGAACGGTTTCGCAGATAAGAAAGGTAGATTTGGAATCAGCTCATCAAGACGCATCTAATGATAAGCAGCTCATATCAAATCCGGCAATCCAAATGCAATCAAGCAAGAAATACGAAGAAATTATTCCTGTTTTGCGTCTTTCCGAGTTGAGACGTCCAGTCCTCAATCATGTGGCAATTGACAGTGAACAGTTTTTAATTTGTATGGACACGGATTGAAACATTGAACCTAAGTGTAGATATAGGATCTCAGTTCAGTTTTTTAGGTGTTTTTGATATAGAAATTCACAACATCGATGGGGAAACTCATTCAAATTAACATATTAGAGCATTGTGAGTCTTTGAACGAGAACGCTTCTTTCCTCTGATTTTTTAATCCTCCATTTGTAAGAATTTGATGTAAGATGTGTCCGAAAAGCACAACAAATCTTATGTTGGGAAAAACTTGCTTATTTGAATATATCATGCATGTAAACACGTGATAGGCAGCTACTATCACATTGGCGCTGAGCCTCCCTGTAAATCAAAAATCTCCCACTTTTCAAGTCTGCAATCTTCTATCCAGTTGTCGCTGTCAGCAATCATAACAAAGAAGATGACCTTGCTGAAGTTGGAACGAGGTGAAATCATTGTCTGCCTAGCAATGCTATGACCAATACTTTCTTTTCTCTGGGCTTGGAACTTTTTCCTTTATTTCTTTATTGTCGTAATTACGCGATGAAAAATCAAGCTTCTCGCGTTGTCTTTGCATTCTTAAAACAGAATTGCTATTGAAATAAGAAGCATTTGATCAGCTTGAAGTGCAAATTTCTTCTTTTTTCTCTACATATGATGTAAATCCGTGTATGTGATTTTTTTTATTTTACTCGTGCATCAATGGCCGCAAACAAGTGGCTCAGTTCAGACGAAGCTGTCTCAATTTACGAACAATTCTAAAAAGGCGAATTGTTGAAGTCGGTAAATAAGCCTCACACCAAAACTTTTGTCAATTCGTAATATTGTCCATTCTTAAAGGCATCGTCCACCCTGAATTGAGAGTGTTGAGCTTTTGGCAGCATATAACAGTAGGGCTGAATATCAAGCCAATGCCCAAGTCGCTGCGCAAAATGCCGCTTTGGAAGCGAGAAAATCGCTTCGGAATACCGAAGACGCACGAGGACCCCCATCCATGCCCGCCCTCCCCCATCCATGCCCGCCCATTTATGCGCGCCCATCCAATCACCGTTCCGAAAAGCCGGCCTGTGGGTTTTCGAAACGGGGTTTGCCGGGGTTTTCGCGCATTCTCGACTTCATATTCGGAATCAGGGACATGAGAAGGCCCTGAAACGACAAAAACGTGGAAGTCGAAAATCTGGGTGGACTGTGCCTTTAAACATCTGTTCATTTCAATTTATTTTAGAAGAAATGGCGTTTTCTAACACTGCTCAAAGCAGAAACATTGTTTTCATATTGCTGCTATGCAAACTTATAAAAACTGATACTCCAACTATTTTTGTAAAAAAATGATTTGTTGAGAATGCTAAATGTTGCGGCTCGGTGGGCTCAGCACCCCCTGCCTCGCTCGACAGCCTGCACAACCCTGCACTTGCTGTCCACAAACCTTGGCGCCGGTTAGCTACTCCGGCGTGTCCGACGAGACGATCCCGATAAGTGGCGATAAACCATGACAACAACCGCGCGGCTAGATTACTTAACTTTATCTAACTAACAACAAACTATACTACATAAACAGCTAAGCTAGAGAATACCTAAAATCTAAAGAGAAAACGATATAGGGGACGAGTCCGCCTCGTCCCAAGCCGCCGATGATCACCAGCCTAATTCCAACACACGATGTCAGGGAATCCACAGGGGCCGACCGCCTACTCTCGCCTCCGCGTAGGAAAGGTGCGACCCTCTCCACTCCCGGTTCAAGCATAAATCAAAGCTCTAACTTTCCTCGCGCGTAGCGCGGCATGATCCAAAAGCTCTAATAATGACTCTGCTCGCAAGACTTCATCCACGGGAGCTTGCTGGGGTAGCTGCCAAGCACGATCGATAAGAGCACAAGAGAAATCAGACGAATTTGAAAACGAGGTCACCGAAAGTCAAAGAGGCAAATGGCGCGCGTTGCGCGGCCTTATATACCCCTCGACCTGGCAACGCGCCCAAGCAAGGAGAGGTCCGGGCGCGAATGTAAAAGCGCGCCCGATTCGGCGGCATGCAGTGCTCCCGGCACCTGAATCGAGGAGAGGCTTGCATCGCGCGAGCCGCGACACTCCCCCCCGAGACAGTGGCTTGAGCGTTCGAATAGTTGGTTACGTGATAGCACTGACGACCCAGGGGATGCATCCTACGTTAGATTTTAGAGGGTAGACAAGTAAAAGAACAATTCCATCGGCGGCATGGTGGAGCGCGTGAGAGATGACCTGGGAAAAACCCGTCCCGTAGGATAACATACACACATAATAGAGCACAACAAATACATGGAATAACTGTGATTAATTAACTGGTTAAATGCGGTTAAATGACGTAGCTAAATATGATGACTACATCCTACAAAGGGGAGTAATGGATAACTAAGGTGGTTAAGTATGAAGCGACGTGAATAAATATGGAAACTAACACTACGAAGGTGGATAACTGCTCGACTAAAACGATTGAACGAAACTAACTACGAACTAAAATGATTATGTAAAGGTGAAGCTAAGCGTGCAACTAGACTTGTCTAAATATGAGGTGGTTAAATGCGAAGTGGCTAACTATGAAGATCATGTGCATGTGCAAACGACGAGCCATGTGCGACCATACAACCACAACACCATCTCCAACAACCATGACCACAAGCAACATCGACCATGTGCGACTACCCACTGACCATACTGTATCATTCTACCAGGTGTCACTGAAGCAGAAAGGGTTTACAAGGTCAAAAAGTCATAAAGGTAGGAACACACTAACCATTTTCCGTCGTTCCACACACTATTGTCACACACAGCTCGCACTCTACAACTAATCGCGCGCTACGGGGAGGCTGCGATGTTTCAGCGCGCGGCAATGCAACTCCCAGATGGCATTAGGGTGTGGGTAAAATTGTCCAGCCAAGCGTAAAAGTCTTAATACGAAGCAGCACTACGCACAATTTGGGCGTTGTTAATGCAAAAGCTGCAGTGATGGCACTCTCATCCGCAAAGTCAGGATTGCCGAGAGGACTCTAGTCCGCCCTCCCGCGCGACAGGACTAGCCTGACGCAACGGCTGGCTTCCTCATCCTCCGTAGGTGACGTTGCGTGCCTTCGAAAACTTCTTCAGAACGCATTGGTTGGACCTGGACTGGTGTCGAGGCGCAGCTGGAATTTGCCTGATAGCCTGGAATATATTGGAATATAACAATAACAAAAAGGTAGAGGGCTCAGTGCAAGAAGGAAGGAACAAAAAGTAATTTAGCATTATTAGAGAACAAAAAACCTATTAAGGATTTGGAATTAACAAAATGTGCGCGCTATTGTTTGGACGGGGTGCCAAATATGCGCGACTGAGTTAGGCCCCGAGATAGAAAAAAGGAAGAAAGACAAAAAGAATTTTAGTAAGCTTCTTACTTGTACTGTTCCCTCGTCAAAAATCTTTAATCCGAGTATTGGTAGTTCAAATGACAGCTGTTTTATTAATAGTGGCATGAAAAAGTGAGCATGCTCTGTAATCAAACAATCTGCATTAAAGGGATACAAGCACAAGTTGAAACGGGTGCACATACGAGGTTAAAGTACTCAAAGAAGGAAATACAAAGAAAACTACAAAGTTATACAAGAGATGGGCCTATGATGAGCACTATGTGAACAATAGGGTTTCGTGATGCGCGAATAGCAGTCGTGCAGTAAGGTTGTACAATTATACGCTGCCTGGCGACAAATCGAACCCAACGCAGTCTAAAGATGAAATTAGACGAAAAACACATGAAGGCGCGCTACAAGCGCTCATCAGCAGACGAAGGAAGTGAAAAAACAACTAAAATGGTAAAGGAAGAACCAAATAAAGAAAAATCTAGTATGCACACCTGTTTTACCGTGTGATTTCACTCCTTAGATGTTCCACAAGGAGTATCCTTTACTGCAAGGTGCTGTTCGTAACCTCGCTCCGGGATGGTCTCCTCATCTGCCACTATCTCCAGGGGTACCAGATGGTTGATTGAACGTTCCAATATCTTCTTCTTGGCAGTCCTAATCTTGGCTGATCTGATATTGCCGTCAGATGAAGTGTAAAGTTCCAGAATGAGTGCTAGTGGCCACGTTGATCGATGCGCGTCCTGTTTGACGAGCACTACTTCTCCTACTCGGGGTGGTTTCTTACTAGACTGACCGTTCGTGCGTCTGACTTGTCTTTGAGCCAAGGCGTCGAGGTATTCCGTCTGCCAAAGTTGCCAGAAATGGTCTAAGTCTTCCTGTAGGGACTTGTAGCGCGTACGGAGCGCTCGATAACTTTCGCTCGATGCGTTAGCGATCTTCTGAGGTATATTGCCGGTCAAACGTGCCACTTGAAAATCCGAAGTAATCAAGTCGATAGGTCTTATGGCCACATTCGTATCCGGATCGGATGAATTCACCGGAAATAGAGGTCTGGTGTTAAGAATGGCCTCTATCTCAATAATGAGGGTCTCAAATAGCCAAAGGTCCAATGTCTGGTTCCGTACTGTCTTCTTCAGCGCGGTCTTGACCGATCCTACTAGTCGCTCGTAAAATCCTCCTTTCCAAGGCGAGTACGGAGTTATGAAGGTCCAGTTGATGTTATTGTTGGCACAAAATTGACTTATTTGGCTGTCGTCCGTTACGGCTGGCAACTCATTCTTGATTATCTCCATTCCTAGCTTGAAGGTAGGCGCGTTGTCGCACTTTACGGTGTCTGGTTTTCCACGACGTGCCATAAACCTCCTAAAAGCTAGTATGAATTGAAGTGTAGTATTGTCTCTTACCACTTCTAGGTGGATTGCGCGCGTTGACATGCACGTAAAGAGGCAAATCCACACTTTGTGACGCTCAGATGACTGCAAGCGAACAAGAATGGGTCCAAAATAGTCAAGGCCGATATGCTGGAATGGACGACTCCTAGTCACCCTCTGTGATGGAAGGTCCGGCGCGTACGGATACTTATATGGTCGAGCTTGGTACCTTCTGCAAATCACACATCTGGAAAGAACGGACTTAACCAAACGTTTCAGCTTAGGAATGAAGAAGCTCTGGCGCAAGATGGTTATCAAATGAGACGGTCCAGCGTGAAATAGCTGGCAATGATGGTGCATAATCAACATATGACAGAGAGGACGATCCGACAATATAAGAATGGGATTCGTAGAGTTGTCGGTCTGCGCGTTAGACTGCGCCAATTGACTCTGATGATACCGTCCTCGTCGCATGTCGTGCGAAACTTCTTCATATATGAACTGTTCAAGCGTTGCTGGCACTCCCTGTAGTGCTCGCGTATGAGCAACGATTCAGCCGTCGTGAAGTCCTTTGGTGTTACCACGGGTGTCGTGTCCATCGTGCTAAGAATAGATTGCGTGTCCTGGTTCTCATGATGGCAGCGCGTCCTGGCTCGGTGACGCACTTTGGCCAAAAACTTTAGGACATACGCAGTGACTCGAACCAACTTGGTGTAAGAATTGGTACGCGTAAAAGGCACGAAGGAGGTATAAGATTCCAGGATGGTGTTCATCGATGTTGTGACCACCTTAAGCTCTTCTACTTCAGCACCTGGCGGAAAAGTAACTGATGGTTCAAGATTCTTCCAGGGCCACTGCGAAGAAGGGGTCATGAAAAAGCTTGGGCCTGTCCACCACATGTGATTCTGGAATTCTGAGGCGGTTAATCCTCGGGTGGCACAGTCCGCCGGGTTATTGTCCGTATCCAAGTAGTAAAATCCGGTAGCAATGTTGTCCGCTCTCAACTCGTCTAGTACGCGACGGATGTATCTGACGCGGTTTGCGACATAAGTCTTGAGCGGCTTGCGCGACTGAATCCAGTACAGAACTATCTGAGAATCGGTGAGGAATCTAATTGATCGGAAGCTGACTTTGCACTGGCCTATCAGAAACTTTGCCATCTTGGCTGCCATGTGACAAGCTAGAAGCTCCATGCGAGGGATGGTGATCGCACCTGGGGGAGCTAGCTTCGCTTTCGCGAAGAATAAGGTTGATTGTGGTTTATTGTTCGACTCACATGTCAAGACGTAAGCGACGGTGGCATAAATTCGCTTAGACGCGTCCGAACAAAGAACCAAATCGTAAGCATCATCACAAGTAGATCCGAGGTAGCGCGGCACGTGCGAGTGAAAGTCGCTCATTTCCTGCACGATGTTGTTCCATCTCTGGGCATCTTCCTCAGTGAAGGGGTCATCCCAATCATAACCGGCTTCCCATAAGTCCTGTATAAACATTTTGGGTCTTACCAGCAGCGGTGTTAACAGTCCTAGAGGATCAAACGTAGACGCATAGACTCTTAATGCTGTCCTCTTGCTCGTTACGGGTTGGTGCGCGATGTTAATCGGCACATGCAGCACATCAAGCTTAGGATCCCATTTAATCCCTAGAAACTTGACGAAATGTCCGTGTATTGTCATACGATCGTGTTCAGGAATCGACAGCATCGTACTCTGGCTATTAGACATGAACTCGCGAAGGTTCATGCACATCCTTGCGAAAATGTCCTTGCACTGTTTACACTTAGTCAGGCATTCCTGATTGGAGTCTGCGCCAATGATGAGATTATCGACATAAGTGTTAGCAAGAATCTGTTCCTTGAGCCGATTTGCTGGATCCTGTTCCAAAAAGTATCTGATGGACATACTAAGTAGGAAGGATGATGCGTTGATACCGAACGGCACGCGCGTAAAGCGTAGTATACGAAGATTGTCCGTTGAAGGTGGTTGTTGGACATCTTGCAACCATAGGAATCTAGTAGAATCCCTCTGATCCTGATGTAAATGGATCTGGTGAAACGCTTTCTCCACGTCGGCAATGATAAGGAAGCGATGGAACCTGCTTCGCATCAGAGTTCCTACTAAATCTGGCAGTAAGGAAGGTCCTTGGTGTAAGCAGTCGTTGAGGCTTGGACAACCTTTCTGATGACTCGACGCGTCAAAGACGATCCTTAACTTGGTGGTGGAGCTGTCTTGTTTATAAACGGCTTGATGTGGAATATAATATATATTCGAGCCTTGCGCGGCAACGTCCGTGACATCCTCAATAATGCCAATTCGCAATTGCTCCTCAATTGTCCTGCAGTAATCTTTCCAAGCTTCCGGTGTCGCTCGAAACTTCTCATACTGACTCTGCAATCGGCGAAAGGCTAAAGGTTTGTTATCCGCGAGAGGAGGATGTTCTGACTTCCAAGGAAAGGAGACGTAAATACTGCCGTCTACAATGGCGACCTTGCTAAAAAACTGCCTGATGACGTCGGCATCCACATCTTCGCCTTCGTCTAATCCGAGTACATCGAGACCGAGAAAGCTACGTATTGATCGTTCGCTCTCTGGCTCGTCTTCGTCCGAGAAATTGTGGATAGTTGAAAGGGTGTTAGAAACAACCGGGTGCTGTATGCCAGATAAAACTGGTCCGAACCTTGTGTGCGACAAGATGAGTCCTGATGGTAACTTCTCATTCCTGTGCAGATCTACAACACGCCAATAGTTGTCTATTCCTAAAAGCACGTCAACTTCCACTCTATCTGCAGGATCGACGATGGTACTGTCGTAACAGTTGTTAGTCCGTGGGACTGTCGTGATCTTCTCGCGCGTCCATAGCTCGAGTTGGATCGGATAGTCGTATTGGTCCCAAAGTGTAAGAGTGACCTCTGACGATTCCGTATACTGATGTCCTCCGAACGTCAGGGTAGTAATAGTCCTGGTATTCCTGAATGAAAGGCCCAGATGTTTGGCCAACGCGGTGCAAATAAAACTATACTGCGAACCACTATCCAAGAACACCGTGAGTAGTTCGCTCTTGTTGGTCTTATAATTCCTAGTTACAGCGTGGACTACCATTAGGCGGGGCTCCTGAGGTGTTGACTGATCATGACAGACAGATGTACAAGAAGAAGGCGGATGCACATCCGTGCGAGCTGGAGAATGATCGTCAGGAGAGTCAGATCGTGTATCATTGGTAGTTCCATGCACGTCAAGGGTACAGTTGGCGCTGTGTACTGCAGACATAGGACTGCGCGACCTTCGCGATAGTGAAGTGCGCCTAGATGGTGTAGGAGAAAACCTATTCCTAGATGGTGGTGGTGACCTGGACTGAAAACCGCGCGAAGATGCACGGGTGCTTGTACGAGATGACGGTCTATAGGCTTCCTCAGAAAATTGAACACGTCTTGGCGATTGAGATCTATGCGAGTCCTGATAGCGTTGCCTAGGCGATGGACTTGGCGATCGCGGTACGGATAAAGTTTTGAGGCAGAGTGACCTATGATGTATCCTGCTACAATATGGACAAAGAGGCTCGTCACAGTCAATGTAAGTATGGTCAGGTTGCAAACACAACCAACAAAGCTTATGACGACTGACAAACACTCTTCGCTGCCTAGCATCCGGGATGGTTCTACAACGGTCTGGTAGATGACCAAAGTTGTGACAGAAGGCACACTGCACATCAGATGGTGCTGCACGTCGCGATCTAGTAGGGCTGTACGACGCACGCCTAGGGTAGTAGGGTGATGATGATCTCTCATGTCTACTGCGAGGGGACAGCGAGCGCGACGGCGAACGCCTCGATCGCGATGGTGTACGATAGCGCGTAAACGCTTCACCTGTCCGATACTCGCTCGGATATCTACGAGGAGAAAGAGAGTGTTGACGAACAACGGATTGAGAATTGTAGGAGTGATAATCCGAAGGGTCTGCGTCCTCTATGTTCTCCAGTCTATCGATGATGGTATCCAAAGTATCAAGCAACTCATCTACTGTCCACATCGGATCTCCCTTATTCTTGAATTCGCCAATTCTCTCACGAGTACGCCGAGGAAACTTGGCACGAATGATTCTAAGTGTGCCTATCGCACTAGAGTCCTCTTTGAGATGTTGAAGCTGGGTCCACGTGGCTCTTACAGCACAAAGTGTCGCGCGTTGTGACTGCGGCGACTCTGAGGCAGGTGGTAACTGCAAGAGCTTGTCCCATAGCTTATTGCGTAGGATCTCCGGGCGACCATACGTGTTGGTTAGGATACGTACTGCGTCATCGTAATTCTCAACCGTCGATTGAAAGCCGGCGATGATGTTCGCGGCGGGTCCACGTAGATGGGACTTCAAGTACATGAACTTAACTGGCACTGGTACACTGGTGTTATTGTGCACGGCCGTAGAAAAAAGGTCCCAAAACTCGTAAAAACTGTCGATGTCGCCATGAAACGTTGGGATCTCGAAGCTCGGTAGCTTCAACGATTGTTCCACGGAGGATTGGGTAGAAGTAGGGATGGGGATGCTTCGCCGATGCTGCGAACGGATTCGGCTGGGGGCAAGAAGAGGTAACGAAGGGGTTACCAAAAGTTGGGGGATTTGGGGGGTGATTGGGGGGAACGTCGAATCCCTGGGTAGCGCTTGAAGCGCGCGGTGGCAGCGTATCAGCTGGCGCGACAAGGTCAGGTTCTGATGGACGATCCTGATCCTTCGATGAAGAGTGGCTCCGGATTTCCGCTCTTACATCCTGCGCGGGCTGATCGGTCATAGGGTCTTGGGTCGGATGAGGTGAAAGATTAACAGAAGAAAAAGAAGGAGGAACAACCGGAGTACGAATGGAAAACAAAGCTTCCGAGCTCGGTAAGAGTTTGATCGCAGTATCAAGACGAGCGTGAAGAGTGTCAGCCTCCTCCACGAGTTGATCCAGTTCATTGGCGTCCCAATGACTCTGAATCTGGTGAAGGAAGGGGAACTCGCCCTGCTCGTCAGGATTTTGACGAGCAAACTCTTCGGCTTTCTCTCTCTGGGCGCGAAGATGCGCAATAGCACGTTCAATCAAAGTAAATCTCAAATAAAGTAGACTCTTATGACTCAAAATAAAGTGAGGATCCTTACTTGCCTCCGCAGCAGGATCCAACGGTTGTAGGATGGCCTCGTCGACTTCCGAGATTTTCTCACGAAGTGCTTTGGCGGCCTTGGTGATGCGGGCTTTATAGCTTCCAAGAAGCGACATTACCTGGAAGAAAAAGGACAGAAAAACAATCAAAAACATAAAACAGCAACAAAGCGATAAATATGACGTGAGTAAAATGTGATATAAGTAACCTAGCTCAACCTAAAAACAGAGGGGTAAACTACCATTGGGGCTACCTACAGGCGCAAAGCAACAGTTACGACAGGGTGTCACTAGAACGACGCGCTGATGTTTAGTGCGCAAGTAACAATGTGAAGAAATAGTGACTTGCACGGAGGCCCATCGGCGACTATCCAGGGCTCCTACCGACGAATAGGAGGGGCATGGGGGAAGTAGAGTAAAAGGGGGATATGCCCGTGGGCGCCTGGAACCACCTTGCAGGGGTCGTGCCTCTCTATAGCACACTGCACGACTCCTTCCGCCAGTACTAGAGGTTGTGGGCACAGTCTCGATGGTCAGGCCCAGAACGAACTGGTAGTGTCTGACACGTTTGTCGGAATGCCAGCCGGTCCGTGGGCTGGGTCACGAGTGGGCCCCGTCTGGCCATCGAGGCTTACAGGGGGGTGCCCTTGATGAAATGGAAATGAGGGTGGCCTTTACTGGAGCGCGGCCTTGGTAGCGAGGTGCCCTCCACAATTGGGTCCCTGGCGATCAAGTCCTAGAAGAATGCTCCTGTATACGAAGAAGAAGGATTAAGAGCAGTTGGAAACTACGGGCCCATATTAGACAAAACGGTGGTTGTAATATTGACGATGATAGCGCGAAAAGAAACATGAAAAATAAAAGGGGGGTATGTTGGTATGGGGAACCCTCTAGTACTCCCTCCGGCACGCCCATTTGCTAGCGACCAATTACGCAAATACCGGTTGTGGTCCAGGCTCTAACTTGATTAGGAGCTCCTAACCTCGTTAGACAGTGTCACAGCGCTCCCATAGCAGCTCACCGAAACTGTTCGAGATCTTAAGGTTTCGACCAGCTTCGGGCCACGACTCGACAGATGCGCGCGCGCGTAACCACAAGGGTTCCCGTGGTCGAGTCCGTCGGGGATGACACCGGCCCGTCACCTGGATAGTACTTCAGAAGCACGAGTAAGCACCAATCACAGTATGAAGTGAGCGCTGAGCTCTGAAGTTTCGAGTTGGCGAGAGCTGCCACCATCTCACCTCCTGTCCACCCCACGCTCGACATCATACTCATGGCTACCATTCCTGCAGTCCTGCTACTGGTCGTCGAGTGTCCTCTGGTCTCCTTGTTGCTGATCTTCTTATCGTGCTGAGCGTGGTAGACTCAGGTCCGTTACGCACGCATGGAAGATGGGATGGCGCGTTCCCATAAGTCCTGATCTTGTCCAGCTCGTCCTCGATCTGCGTGTCCAATCCAATTCCATACGCGGGCGGAATCCTCCATCGTCCATGCGCTCGGCGTCGATGCACCATGTTGCGGCTCGGTGGGCTCAGCACCCCCTGCCTCGCTCGACTGCCTGCACAACCCTGCACTTGCTGTCCACAAACCTTGGCGCCGGTTAGCTACTCCGGCGTGTCCGACGAGACGATCCCGATAAGTGGCGATAAACCATGACAACAACCGCGCGGCTAGATTACTTAACTTTATCTAACTAACAACAAACTATACTACATAAACAGCTAAGCTAGAGAATACATAAAATCTAAAGAGAAAACGATATAGGGGACGAGTCCGCCTCGTCCCAAGCCGCCGATGATCACCAGCCTAATTCCAACACACGATGTCAGGGAATCCACAGGGGCCGACCGCCTACTCTCGCCTCCGCGTAGGAAAGGTGCGACCCTCTCCACTCCCGGTTCAAGCATAAATCAAAGCTCTAACTTTCCTCGCGCGTAGCGCGGCATGATCCAAAAGCTCTAATAATGACTCTGCTCGCAAGACTTCATCCACGGGAGCTTGCTGGGGTAGCTGCCAAGCACGATCGATAAGAGCACAAGAGAAATCAGACGAATTTGAAAACGAGGTCACCGAAAGTCAAAGAGGCAAATGGCGCGCGTTGCGCGGCCTTATATACCCCTCGACTTGGCAACGCGCCCAAGCAAGGAGAGGTCCGGGCGCGAATGTAAAAGCGCGCCCGATTCGGCGGCATGCAGTGCTCCCGGCACCTGAATCGAGGAGAGGCTTGCATCGCGCGAGCCGCGACACTAAATGACCAATTCGAACCAGCGCTTTTCGTCTTGTTTTATGAAATAACTATTCTATTTGAAATGGGAGCAGATCAATTGGCAATTTCTAGACACTCTAATTTCACGATTACAAGACATCCCCCGTTTTTTCTGCTCGGCCAGCCTGAACACAACAAAAACTTTCGTGACCAAAGGACCCTTTACCGTGCTGCTCCTACTTGGAAGAAATGTGTGGAAGAGCGACCATTTTGCAAAACACAGTGGCGCGGTCGAGCTGCTTGCTTGAAACACGAAAAAGGTGTATCTTATAATTGTGAAATTGGGGTACTTGTATTTCAAAATTTTTACTCGACTTCAATACTGTTTTTGCTTAGGTCAACTCTTATGCACGTTTATTAAATATAAAAAAGTGTACACTGTATGAACAATGTGCTTTTCAAACAATTTTAAAATGAGTTTTCAATATTTTTAACTTAAAGTTTTTACTACAAAATAAGGTTCGAAGATTACAAAAAGTAACTTTGTGAAGATATGCATTCTTTAAAGACATCTATCCGGTAGGAAACAGGTATACTACACCAACAATGAATCTTCATCAAAAATGCAGAAAAAATCCTTTTTCATTATACTATAGTAAACGTCACATATCACTGCACATAATAAGGATGATCCTATGTGCTCCTCGAGAGACGATGTATTGAGAAATGATTCGATTTGACGTCATAGGAAAGATTTATAAACCCCAGTGTTACTTACGTGATCATTTTAGGTTTCAATCACTCCTTTGCTCTTCAAATGCTAAAAATTTTTTTATCGAGTTAGCGAAACTACTGTTTTGGAGGGCTGTTTCCTTTGAACAACTACAGTGGATCCTGTCGCATGTCAATCAAGGTAGCATACGAAGAGATTGATAGCTTTTATTCTTTTTGTCGTGACTTCAAATGACGTCATATGAGAATGAATTGAAAACTGAATAGCGAATTCGAAGTATGTGCTTTCGTAATCAGTTTTTAAGTCTTTGCGAATTTCCAATGCAACACGAAAAGTGGGAACTCCCAGAAATACGATACTTTTGGCATTTGTCTCATGAAAAATGATAGAGTGACGCAACCAACAAGCACTGAAAAAATCAGCAATACCATCTTGTTTACACTCTTAACGATCTTACCCATCCGGCATCGCAGTAGAGCTCCCAAAATTATTCATAAATTGGACCACCAGCACATGGCGTTAACTTTGACAAAACACTTATTCTCGTTGTGATTGTCGACGTTTCCTTAGTACGAAGTTTGAATAAGGGCAATTACAGACAATCATTTTCACTTCTGCAAGAGTTCAGAAAAAAATGCTGCTACCAAGAACGGCAGCAGTCAACTGCTATTTCGACTTCCCATTTACAGTTGAACTGCATTGAGTTCGTAGAACGAAAAGTTTTTTCTGTAACTGCGGTTCCGCCCGTGAGCTGTCACACCCACACCATACCTGTGGCAGGTTTATGGTAGCCGGTGTATGTCTTCATATCATTTATTTATCGAAATGTGAACCAATCTTGCAACTGACTTGATCCTAGATTAATACTTATGTATCTTAGATTTAGGAACGTAACATTCTCAAGCGCAAGTAACTTAAACTTTAAGCAAACTAGCTACAAGAAAAGACAGACTTTTTAGGTCACTATGAGAAGCATTTTCTAGCTTAACTCCACTAGCAGAATGTGTTAGCAGTCGCTAAGGTACTGTGGTAAATCACCACTTTAAACTTCATAGCCGCCCAGCTAAGCTATGCTGTTTACTTTCATGCCTTTCAAGCAAACTCACTTATAACCTCGTCTATTCAGGATTTTGCTCTATTTGACGAGCAGTGAGTCATGAACTCTTAGAGGTGGTTACGTCAATCACTACATTTTGTTGCTAAATTCGGAATCTCACGGGAAAGAATAAACTCATCGTAACACTTGGACTGACATGAATACCATAAAATGCATCTCGAATTAATGTCAAAACTTTTCCCTATTT